GTTCGGTGAGTAATCCGTGACATGGAGTAAAGTTCGGTGAGTAATCCACTTGCACACATGGCATTGACGTGGAATTTAACGTGCCACGTCATCTTTCCATCAGCCACGTGGACAACGTTACTAACGGTTTTGATCCAGTGGCCAATGAAGTGGGACGGTTTAAAGTTGAGTGGCCAGTAGGATAAGTTTTAAAGGTGAGTGGGTAAACCGTGACATATATGAAAGTTCAGTGGCTAATGAAACAATTAACTCGTGGATTTTATGAATTTAAAGTAATTTTTATGGATTTGTTAAGAATTAATAGTTGGTGGATATACGTAGATTTTGACTAAAGAATTTTCATTACATACTTCAAAAATTACAATATTTCTTATTACCTAATTAACATTTTCGAGAGTCCATGATACGCACAAAAATTTCTTGGGTAAGTGCCCAGAGTTCAATTCGGAGAAAATAAAATAATAAAAAAAATTACATCATTTTCGAATGATATAACAAAAAAAATTTCACGAAATTAATGTAAATTCTAAGAATACACACATGAAATTCTACATTTTGAAACAACTGCATATAATTCAATTCAAAAATAATTATGTACATATAGAATAATTATAAATTGATTACAACAAATGAATTAAAAAGATACGAGAAAATCCTAAAATTTGAAGAAAAGATACTTTTTTTTTTTTGCCATGAAATCTTCACAGATCTAAGATTATATGATTTATTTATTTTTTTTATTTATTTGTTATTTATATTTTTTACCAAAAATTCTCCAGAAGTCGAGTAAGTAGAAAATTCTCAAAAAATCACTGTCTATTTGAATATTTCATAACTTATAAAGACTTCTAAAAAAAATATCCGTGATTTGTAAACACTTTTTAAAAATCTATAGAAGTTTTAATTGAAAATGCCTAAACATTTAGCCTCAGTTTGGTAGACATTATATATGGCAAGAATGCATTTTTCTGTCAAATCAAGTGGGCTCCATCGCTGGCTACTTTGTTCCCTGGTTAATCGATTTCTCTGATGAATTACTATAATGCCCTTTTGTGAAATTTGGCAAGTGAATGGGTAAGAATTGATTGAGGGTAGAATGGAGAATGTTTACAAAATTATTCAAAGTGAGGGCACACGTTCTGTCATACGGGTACTATTGCAACGGTCAGAAAATCTCTACAAATTGGCAAGAATTGGTATCAAACAGAGGCTAGAGTGTCTTTAATGTATTCAATTGAGACTTTTAAAGATCTTTATAAATTTTTTCAAGTGTGTGACTTTTATGGATTTTATGGACTTTTAAATAAATTCTGTAGACTTTGATTAAGGATTTTTAAAGATTTTTCATCTTGCAAATTTATTATATATCCGAAAAATTACAATTTTTCTTACTACCTAATTAACATTTTCGAGAACTATGATGCTCACAAAATTTTCTTAAGTAAAATCACTAGTCGCAATCCATTTATTCAATTTTGGTGCAAATAAAATAATAAAAAAATTTAATAACATGACAAAAAAAATTTCACAAAATTAACAAAAATTTTAAGAACACAAATTGTTCGAACAAAAAAAAAGAATAAATTGATCGGATGGAATTTTAAGTTTTGAAACAATTGTATATATGGTGTGTTAGAGCCACATTATGTGATGGAAAATATTATTTTATTGAAGAATGTGAGGTTGAAAATGTGTAGAAGATTGAGAATGAGAATTTTAATGTGACTCAAACAGAGGCATAATTTCAATTCAAAAGTAATCATGTACATATAAAATAATCATAAATCGATTACAGTAGATGAATTGAAGAGATAAGAGAAAATCATAGAATTGAAATTTCGAAATCTTCATAAGTCTCATAGTATACGAGAGATTTTTTTTAGATTTGCTACTTATATTTTTCACCAAAAGACTCCATAAGCCCAGTAAGTAGAGAATTCTCCAAAAGTCATTAGATATTTGAATATTTCATGACTTAAAGACTTCTAAAAAGTTTCAATTGTATACCTCGTGACTTTTAGAAACTTTTTAAAAGTCTATAGAAGTCTCAATTGAATACGTCTAAACTTTTAAAGGGTCTTTAAAAGTCTCAATTGAATATACTCAAAGTTTTTAAGCCCCCAAATTCTTTAAAAGTCCAAAATGAATACACCAAAGTCTTAATTAAATACACCTAAATTTTTTAAATTATCAAAAGTCTTTAAAAGTCTCAAATGAATACATCACGTAGTAGATTTTGATAAAAAAAAAAAATGACGAAATCACGTGAAATATGTGAATTTTAAGGGCTTAATATCATTTGTAGTTTGACCGAGTTTTTATTCGTAGATAACTTTGAAATATGTAACTTACATATGTTTTAATTAATTTAGAAATAGTTATTGTTGACCCCAAAAAATGTTGTCAACAGATGTCGGGCCCACTCCTGTCACGTCAAGCAATAATCTAGCACGTTCCTACCGGAATAGGAGCGATAGCGTAGTTGGAAAGGGCGTGGGAGTTGCTTTCCGGCAAGAGACACAACTGTTCAAGCTCCGGCAATTTTCTTGAAGCAGCCCTTGCACTGTCAACAAGGGCCAGATCGACTTTTCTTTCAATGAATGCATGTTTTGTTATGGAATATGTGGAAGGATAGATAAGATCGAATGATGTTTTATGTTGGAATCTTGATATATTTGGTATGGTGTTTGCAAAATATGTAAAGAACAAAATATGTGAATTTTCTTCAATATCTTCCTTTCACGAGAATCATAGTATTTTTCGTTTACTTGTTTGATTTCCAAGATCCAACCCCCTAAATCTATAAGTAGATTTTGATAAAAAAAAAATGACGAAATCACGTGAAATATGTGATATTTTAAGGGCTTAATTTCATTTGTAGTTTGACTGAGTTTTTATTCGCAGATAACTTTGAAATATGTAACTTACATATGTTTTAATTAATTTAGAAATGGTTATTTTAAAATTAACTTATTTATTTTTAAACTCTAACTTCAAAGTAAAAAATATATATATTAATTTTGAATTCATATATTGAATGCTTTTGGATAAAATTATAATATGATACAAATGAGTGATAGGCAAGTAGATACTTGTTTTTTATCTCACGATATGTATTGTTTAGAGCAATATTTAACATACTTATTTCAATTGCTATTAATTGAAAAGGTGTTTATTTGTTTATTTACTTATTTCTAAAACTCAAGTCTTACTTTTACAATGATAGTAACTCTTGAAAGTATTATTTAGAAATGAAAATAATCAAGGGGTTAAATCGGGGGTTATTTAGAAAATAATCATCTAATATCTTAAAAATGACATATACATTTATTCGGAAAATGTAAATAATCAAGGATCAAATTGGGATCGAATTGAAAATTGGAAAAAAATTAATAATTCTTTTTTTTAAAAATAAAATAAAACGATAAACCAGTTTCAGTTCACGTGATTTTGATAAATCAGCCAATTTGGAGCTTTTCTTATCGGGTTTTATATTTTCGGTTTCTTGAATATAATTTTAGACCTCGTAATCCTCTTGATTCCTTAAGACATGCTGAAAGAATTCAAATTCTGATCCCAAATTCCCTTAGGCAATTCGAAATATTATGGAAAAACCCACTTGTACAATCATTAGATGATTGAAAAATCTTACAACCTCTCACATGAGTGTGGGATCCAAGCACATTTTACAATCATCTAATGATTGTACACCAAGCACATTTCAAATATTATTCATCTACGTCTATCCCATCGAATCATCTTCGAATTGTTGCAACAAATGTTGGATTTCGAAAAGAACGAAAAGTTATTTTAAGACTTAAAGAGTAGACTAATTTGACCCTTGTTTAATTTAGTTTCTAGATTTACAACACAACACTTGAACATGAATGAAGGATAAAAACCTTCGAGTATTTCTCAAGTGTAAATTATTCGTCATCCATCTATCCCAATGAACCGTCTACTGAATTGTTGTGATTAATGTTCGACCCCAAATAGATTGAAATAATTCTTCGAAAAGGGGGAAGTCAAATTTGTGGCGACAATAATTCAACAACTAATGTTTGACTATATTTCAAAATTAATAGCACAATACTAGAACATGACAACTAGATATGACTTTAAAAAATGAGGAATCAAAACCGTCGTGTACATTTCTTGGGAACATTTTGTATCTACATCTACCCCACTAAACCGTGTATTGAATAGTTGCAATTATGTTCGATCCCAAGATGGATGAAAAATCGGCGGGGGGGGTGGATATCAAATTTCTGGCAAAAGTATTTCGACAACCCATGTTCGATTCCATTTAAAGATTAACAGCACAACACATGAACATTCTCAAAACAACTATGCAATGCAAGTATATACTCTCCTTCAAGGAGAGACATAAAATTAATCTCAAAGCACATCAATATAAAAAAACCTACTCCGCGGGAACGTCTATCCGAGGGACTCGGAGCTAAAATGTTTAATCATATTTTCTTATCTTTCCCTGCAGAGTTTGTTGTCTTGAAACAAGGTATCCACACTGATGTTGTCTTCTGGTACTGTCTATATGCATCAGCCCTGTAATCCTTTTCCAGCATTCTCTTCTCCACAAGTCGAGTCACATAGGCTAAGCACATACTGTTTATAAGGGCACCAATAAAACTCCAGCCAGAACCCAAATTCCATGCAAAAATAAACAGCCCCCACCACCATAACTGCTCCCCAAAATAGTTTGGATGTCTCGAGTATCGCCATAGGCCTTTTTCGAGACAGGGAACCATCGGCTGGCCGAGCTTTTTCAATTCATTATTTCTACTAACGAAAGTGTGAAGCTGTGTGTCGGCGTAATAAGCAATGACAATGCCGGCCAAGCATGTTAGTGCAGCAACAACATCCCAGATATTGAAATCCTTGTTCTTCGAATGGACAATGTAGAAAGGCATGCATATTCCCATCAGAAAAACCTGCCAAGTAGCCATCGCAACCAAATGTTTAAAAAGTTTAAGATGAGTCTCCAAAAGCCCGATTTTCTCATCTCAAATGTTATTATTACTTAAATATTTGATTATATTAATTTGTTCTTTGGATTTCGCTACGTAAAAATTCCACATAAATCGCGAATACACAGTAGAAACAACTGTAATAGCAGAATTTTAGAGTGAAAATAAGAATCGGAATAATTTATCTGTTCAATTATGAGCATTGGTTAAGCTTAAAAGTAGGTCAAATTTACTTTTAACTAGTTTTTTCTCTTCGATGCATGGTTACATACTTTTTCCTAGTAGGGAGAAAAAGTTAATTATTTTGACATTAAAGCAGGATTACTTTCAGATAAGTAAATTTTTAAGCTAAGCACAATATGCACTATGTAGTTCAGACATTTCATCTAACAGTTTTCATCGATAAAAAAGATGTAGAACATTCTGATAAAAAGAATAGGATTATACCTGCTGAGAGAGGTAAATAGCAAAGAAAGAGACCCACCACCAGTTTTTGCCATATTGCCGCCGCATATCAGTAAATCTCCAGTCTTCTCGGGCACCCCATTGCCACTCTTCCCGGCGGAAGTAGTTATGAGAAAGCCTAATGCTCCAAATCAAAGTCAAAAATCTCACCAGACTCGACCTTAAAAGATTGTACTCTGCCAACGGATGAGATCCATAGTAATGCACCAGCAACAATGGTATCACCGTCCAATACGGATCTATCATCTGCACCCAATATTAAAGGTCAAATTCCGCGTTGCTTAAATATGAAAATTTATAATGAATTTGGACTACTCCTGTACACAGAGTTCATCTCTTAAGATGGAAATCAGTATCAGAGCTCAAAAAGCAATTCTCTATCTATGTAATGCTCAAACCAATAGTCAAATTCGAAGACAAAGAAACTAATGCGTAAAATTCCAAAACATTTTAATATGAAAATAATAATCCATATAAGGGCTTGAGCTATTAAACGGTTAAACCAGATTAAGATTAAATCGACTGAGTACCCAAAATGACGCGTAAGATTAGTGATAAAAAGTAGACACGTAAGGTAAAAAAGCTTAATTACCCACCCAATGGCTTGACTGGAGAAGCCCAATTATCCAGAAACTAAGATTAACATTGAGGAAAAAGAGGGCGTTGGCCAATAGCAGAGGGTGTTGGTAGCACCAAATCCACAAAGGCGACAGAGAATTGTCATCGCCTGCTGCTGTAACAAGAGAACGATCACGGAACTGGCCGAGGAAAGAGAGGTAGAAGAGAATGGAAGGAAGAGGGATCAAAAATGCCATTACAGCATTAGGAATATTCCCTGCCATGATCAAGCTAATGCAGCTTCTTCTTCTTCTTGTTAGTTTTGAGTATTTGTACCGACGTGCATGTGTAATTGTATATATAGAGAAGGAGGGGTTGGGCGCATGCGTGTGTAGGGTCGGAACCATTTTGAAAATAGCATAATAATTATTTGATTATAAAATTGTTCCCCACGCTTGGCTAAGCTTTGTAATGAATTAAATTTTCTTTATTTTTATTTTAAAAAGATTATTTATTTTAAAAGTAATTGTCAAAATAAATAGTTTACTTAGCACCAAAATTAAAAAAAAATCTCCATTTCAACGTCAAATCTCTATGTTGATTTGATGCAATCGACATTGTTGCATCAAACTGTTTTATTTGACGTGATTTTTAGAGTTTTTCTTCATTCTGTCCTTCGTTTTATAATACATTATATTTCATTTTATTATTTAATGTTTTAATTAAATTTATTTTAATTATTATTTTTTGTTAACAATTATTATATATAAACTTTATTTTATTTTGTATGTTAACTATAATTTTTTTAATTTATTAATTAATGTGATATTTTAATATAATTTTTTAATTTAGTAATGTTAGTAATAATATAATTTTTTAAGTAAATTAATTATCAAGAATTATAATGAGGAATCATTATTCTTGGGCATCTCATTCAAAAAAATAAACAAACAAATAAACAAAATAATAATAATAATACTAATACTAAAAATAAAATAAAAAAATATTGCAATGATTATGGGAATTCTAAGTAGCCGCACAAAATTCAATCAATTAAAGTTAAAAGTTACTTATTTTTCTTAGTTTAAAGAGAGTAAATAAGTAGTAATCATGTTTACAGCATCTTAAGGATATGTGCAATCATTAATTGAATCCCTTCACATGGCACTCACAGCCTATAAACCACCTTCACTTTTAAAAAATAATTGTATTCACACCAACCCATTTTGTTTGTTACGTCGATTTTCGTTCAAATATTCTATTATTATGGTGAAAATATTTTGTCGACTTTTGCTATTTGTTGTTTTTCTTGCTTATTTAAAAACAAATCGATCAATGTTAGTGACAACATAAGCTAATTAATAGATTTGATGATTCGAATCCCCTCAGGATCACTGAGATGAATACTCGACCGTAAATTTTAGGGTCCTGTGGGATTAGTCGAGATGCGCGCAAACTGAATCGGACATCCACGGTATAAAAATAAAACGAAAAAATATAAGTACGAACATTAAGAACCTTTCATTATAATTAAAATGTGGATAATCCAACAAAAAGTGTAGTTTAATTACTCCACTTTAAATTATCCTTTTTCTCATGCGCACTACCAATTGCTGCAATTACGGGGGGGACCTCAAGATTGCATCTTTAGAATTCAATTAGCTTGATCCAATGATTGAGTTGATCAAATTGTACAATTAAAAGTGATGGACATAATTATAAAACATAGCAAAATTCTAACACTTTAACAAGTTAAATATCTTCTTCGAATAAACCAACGCATACCTCCCAAGATTGGAATGATTTCGATGAGTCTAATCTATAGCAAAATGTCACAATCATGTTACATGTATATCATCTTTTACATTATCTTTTATACTTTGTCACGTGACAATAAATCATTGAACACTTTTAAAAAATAAACTATTTTACCTCCAATCTTTTTTTAACGTTAAATGTCAAAGAATTAATCTAAGTGTACAAAAATGGCGTTCACAGAGATCTTACCGACCTCTCACATGAGGTGGGTCCCACGTCGGACCAACCTAATTAAAAAATGGCTCAATTTTTTTCCCGCCCTCCCCTTGTGTGTTGTCTGTAGAGGAACCTCTATACATGCAACACAGTTCAATGTCAAAAAGGATATACATGTAACATTTTTTATAATTGCCATCTTTAATCTGAGCATTCAACCACCATAATGATGACACTCGATAACACTTGATGCCAAGTCAGTCAACATCTATCATCGCACCTACTTCATCAAGCAACTAAACAATCAACGTTCAGGCAGAGTTGTACACTGTTGATTTAACATCCTCTAGTAGAACCAACAATTGATCATCAAGTGAATTAAGTTAAAATCTTTAGACAGTAGGAAGGGCAAAAGAGTCAACTTCCACTTATTTCGAATGCTTGTTTAGATGAAATTTTAACTAGATTATGATGAAAAGTAGTAGCTAATCTCAAGAAATGTATGAATAATAGTGAAATTATGATAAAAATTATATCGAAATGTGGAGAACTATGGGTTCTTGTCCATTGCACAAAAAATCCGCTCACTTTACAGCGTTATAGAATAACATCCAATCCCTCGCCTCTTACCCGCAAAATAAATAAATACAAAAGTAGAGCCTCAACTTTAGAGAAGGGGGAGAAATTGAGGAAGATAGAAATCTGCATAGATGGTGAAATCATATAGAGAAGCTTGTTTCCCCCAAAATGGCTTCAACCACAAGGTCAAAAAAGTCAGATAGCTCAGTTTCAGAGCATGTCATAAGAAAAATCTCCTGCGACTAGTATCCATTTCAGGCTGGCAAAGAAAAAAAAATGGAAAAAAAAAAGAAAAAGATAAAAGTAAGCCATCAGTAATTATGTCATAAGTGGGACCAAAAAATTGTGCATGTGATTAAATAAGCAAGTAAAATCAGAAAATAACCTTGTGAACCCACTCGTATTCCCCACCCTTTGTATCAAATGTTCCATGCTGCACACTGATTAATTTCATTGTGAAACGAGGACCGCATTCCTGCAATTTTATCATCAAATTTATGTTGGAACGTATTTCAGTGAAAGGTTTGCTTGGAATCACTTAAACGAGAGGTATATGCTAATAAAAACAGGATGTTTATTAGTAATTGCCTTGTGTCCTTTCTCACAAACTCTTCAACAGAATTTTAAAGAGAGTATCCATCTATCATGAACCAGAATGTCTTATTTAAGTATGACAATGACAAAAGAATAATATACATATTCGAGATGATAAAAGGGAAATATCACATGTCCAAACTATATTTTTAGAGTGTTTGGTTACATGAATTAGATAGTACTAGTCAGCATTGAAAAAAAATTAGAAATGATCTCATCTATTGTACTATCAAATACTCTGGATGAAACATGCACATTCAATACATACACAAATAAGGACTACAGAAAGTCTTATCTTTCTGTTTTATTTTCCCCCTCCACTATCAAAAGTGGGGTGACATGACTTTTGGATTGTGGTCATGAAACAAGGACTGAATAATAAAACACACACCCCCCTCCTCCCAACCACAATAAAGTCTCTGTTTCTTTCTGTCACTAGTCAGCAGAATACTCACAAATAGACTCTCAGTCTCATCGAAGAGAGCTTCAAATTATCATTGCAAGGTAAAACGCAAGCATTATCTGGTTCCTTTCCAGGGGTTTGCTCAACAGTGCTGGTTTCTTATTTTGCACTGTGTTTTTCTTCTACTACTTTTTTTTTTCTTATTATTTTTTTCCTTCTTTGGAGAGCGCTATTAACATTATTGATAATTTTGTCAGCGTTTATTGCTCCAAATTGTCCTTTATTGATTCCTCTTAGATTCTCTTTCTATTGTAAATTCCAATTTTTTTCAGTTCTATGCTAATCACTTTTGAGTCAACCACCCCTCTCCAGAAGTCACTCTTGGTCAGGCATTTACAGATAAACGTAAAATGCACTGGACATTCACTGAGAAAGAATTAAACACGAACCTGAAGCCGGGCAATTACTTTCTCCTTAGACTTTGCCTCCTTACCATCCTTGCCGTTTTTGCCTTTTGATTCTGCCTGTTTACTTTCTTTGGTTTCAAATATGTAGCTTCACACGAAATGATATGCAATAATCACTAATCAGATATACAGGCCAAAAATTCCATCAAGAATATAAAAGCTCGAGGACTACATACCGGTGATGACGGAAGAATATAAAATCACGTTGATTGTGGAAGGTAACAACTCGCCGGCCACGAAAATTAGGTACTTGTGGAAATAGCGATTGTATCATCCTAATTCAAATAACCAGGCATAATTTTGTGAATTGGCAGTAAGAGAATTATAAATTTATAACCACATAGGATATAGACACACATACTCAGAGCTGGGTAAGGGGAAGTGGGTAGAGAGACGGAGAACTATAATTCGCCAAGAGAAAATAACAATAAATAATGATGTATGACTAAAGTGGCAAATCGCGGACTACTCTGATGTAGAATGAATAACACTATATTGAGTATCATAGAAAACCTAGTAAGTACCTCCCAACACGATGTCCCAAACGAGTTGAAAAATTGGTCAAAACTAGCTCAGGCTCGTGACTGGTTGGATTTCCATGATTCTGAAAGCAACATAAAACCACATTTAATAGGAAATTATCCAAGATTAAGAAATACAAAAAAACTAATGGTACACTCACAATAACAGAACACTGAAGAATTTGCAAGGTAAAGATTGTCCTCTTATATAAGTATTGGGCCATCACTTGAGATCAGTGCCCTACTTATTCATATATATAAATATAGATTCAATGTCCCAAGAAGAAAGAGATTATTAAAGGATAGTAGTTGATAGAGAAAAAAATCTACTCCACAATGGTTTCTCCATTTTCATGATGTCCTCTTTGAACATGAAGATAAACAGGTGAAATAAGGGTAAAAGAATGGCCAGACCTTGAGATCTTTGTGTAAAACAAGCTTTGATAATTTGAAATGTGCAGTCGGCCCATCAGGTAAGCCTATGATAAGGAGAGCATCTGCAAGTAGCTAAAAAGTAAGCTTTCCAAGATAACTCAAAAAATCAGATGGGGAGCAATCTATGATGTGTTCTATAATATAGTACACATAATATAGACACTTGGTCTAGCATTAAAAGGCTGTGAACTCCCGTCCTAATTTCAGCAACATGTTCAAAACTTAAACAGATAACAAAATTTTCTTACATGCTATTGTCTAGACTTACATTAATTCTAGAGTTTACAGAAGATATTTAATATATACAGTACATGCATTCCATTAACACATGCAAGATTATGGTTTTTAGAGTTCAAAAAACCTATCTTCCTAAATTTTATATTTCTCTTGCTGCAAGTTCGTTCCCTTTCGTCAAGTAGGTAAAGTAGGCATACGAACCACTTTGCCTTAGACTCTATTGGAACAAAGCAAAGAAGGAGGCGGAATGGAGAAAGGAAAGGGACAAGGGCGGTCTTGCTTGGCGCGAAGGCTGCTAGAGATAGAACCCATGGGCGAAATCACTAAAGCTCCTTTTCCTTATTCCTTAGGGAGTGGGGGTCTCAGTTCGAAACTTTTCTATCTCAACTAGTCTTGTCCAACAAGTCAAAAACCTATATGCTTTGACCTTTCATCCTGCTAGTCAACGACCGCTTTGGGACACGTCAAGCTTTGTTAATAAACTACAGGAGAGGCTTTAACATTCTGATAGCATCTCTCATATTTCTCGCAGAAGAAATTATGTTTCAAAACTTGAAATTCACAGTTTCTTCCCAAACCACAAGTGCAGGAAGTGCATGATTATACGTGTACGTAAGTGAGTGTCAGTGTAGAGGATAGAAAAGATGAAAATTATTCCCAAAGAACAGTATCTTAAAAAATGAAACTAGAATAGGAAACGTTCCTTAGAGGTGGCAACAAATCACATTGGCACTTGTATATCCAAAAGGTACCATTTATTGATCTGTATTTTTACTTCCTTTATCAATCTGGTAAAATTAATTCACTCAGGTGGAAAGATCCAAGGTGATAAAGTAGCAAGAACCCCCAGATTCAGCACATGCGGCTACAGAAAGAAATTCAAGAATCAAGGGCAACAGATGATCAAATTGTGTGCTTATCAATGTAATTATGTCATTTGGTTTTCTACTGGACAAGAAAAGTCCAGTGTAGCACGGAAGTTAAACATTCAGTATGGCTCCCAAACCGAGTCACCTTTACTATATTCAAGAGACTGTATCACTCTGTGACCTAGTCAATATCAGGTCACCACCAAAATGCTTTCTTTTAACAATATGAAACTCTCAATAGGTCATTCCAGATGCCAAAAAGTCAGGGATAATTATGCATTTGACTTATCGTTAACAAATAACAAATGTATTGCAGTTTTAACTCCAATAGATTCACTTCACTCATCAATAAAGACTAGAAGACCCTAATAATTACTCCACAAATTTACAGCAATAATTTACCTGGTTCCCTGCGGTTGGTGTGGACGACAATGAGTGAAGTGAAGTCCTTATTTTTTGCATATTCCACAATCTGCAGAAAAGAAGAAAATACTGTCTCAACGACCAACTTCGTACAGCTATCCTAATCAAATTTAATTGGACAATAAATGAAGAAATTGATAGAAACTCAATACCTTTTTGAGGTCATAGGTTCCTCTCTTGTAGTAATGAGCATTGGGGATGACCGATAAAAGATCTGAAATAAAAGCAGGTCCCCTCTGCAGTCAAGTGCAAGAAAACAACATATTTTAGCAACTCATATAACAATACTGACAACTAAAGAAACAATATACGAGTACGACATACGGTGGAATTGAAGCGGGACGTGGTAATCAAGATCTTAGGAGTGCAATCTTGCTTCAAAATGGAACTAAATTCATCAGCATCATTGCCGGCAAATAGCTCTTCATCATCGGGCTTACAGACAGTATCATCGACCTCACGTGTGTTCTCTATGGTACGAGGAATTTTCTTTGGAGGAAGCTCCTCGCCGAGCTCCAGAGCTCTTTTCTCATCAGCTTCGCGAGCCTTAGCCGTCTTCCGTTTGTCCACCTTCTTCTGATGCTTGAGCTTCGCATGGGCGGCTGATCGCCGCTCCTTGTTTTTTACTGTAGACGGAAGGATCGAGTCCTTATGCTTCATCTTCTTCTGTCTACTGTCTTCATCTTCTCCTCCTTCCATGCCATCGCCATCGGCTTTCTTTCGCTTTCCCCCCATTCTACAAATGCCGCTTGAAGGTTAGCTAATAGGTTAAGAGATGGATTTGGGACACGAGGAGAGAAGAAATTAGAGGAAGAGCGGGGATTCCGGCGGCGACTGGATGAAGTCTGTTCTGTGGTTGGGTTTGAAGGCTATTTAGGGTTTACACAGCCGTTCCAAGTTTTTGTTCCTCTATTCGTTAATTTTTTTAAAATTATATGAATATAAGTAAAAAAATAAATTAATTAATTAAAAATAAGTAATTTTTAAATAAGCTTTGCGAAACAAACTCCATCATCAATGATCAATCCCATCATAAAAATAGTTTTCATTTTATTATTTTAATATAGGAAAAAATGCATATATAAAAGATTAGTATAACACATTTCAAAATTAAGGCCATGTTTGTTTCTGCTTTTTCCCCAAATTTTAATCTATTTTCTTACCGTTGCCAGCCGCAATTGTTGACCTTTCTCTCACACTTCAGCTCAACAACGATCCAAAAATTGCTTTTAATTTGGGGAAAAATTGTTGCCAGACAAGCTCTAAGAAACAAAGTTTAAAACTTCAAAAATCAGATTTTTTAATTTTATTTTTAAGATAATTAATTAAACATATGTTTTGTTAATTAAAAATATTAAGGTCACTATTCTATAAAATTTGGTCACAAATTATAAATTATTTGGTCACGAATTATTTCTGACACAATAAAAAAATTTATAGGTCATAAATTATTTTTCAATCACAAATCAAAAATTTTATAAGTCACAATTTGTTTCTCGATCACAAATCATAAATTTTTTTAGTTACAACTTATTTTTCGGTTACAAATCACAAATTTTATAATCGCAACTTAATTTTCGATCACAAATTTATCAAATTAATAGCTCACATATTATTATTTGATCACAAATCATGAATTTTATGAGTCACAACTTATTTCATTGTCACACATTATCAAATTATTAGTTTCAATTTTAACAAATTTTAAGGTCACAAATTATTTTCAGGCACAAACAAAAAATTTTACATGTCAAATATTAATTATTGGTCACAAATTAACCAATTTATTGTTCACAATACCGAAATAATTGATCATATCGTCCCACTCTACCACCACAATCACCGTCGCCACACCACACCACTGCCACAACCTACAATGCACAGTCACCTTCATTACCTACAATACACTATCATCACCGTCGCTTACATAACAAACCAACTCGTACCACAAACACTGCCTCCATCTACATTGCACCACCAACTATACTTCAATCCACAACCACGGGATAACCCACACCCACCACCACCTCCTCTATGTCATAGCCCTGGTGAGACGAGATCGAAAGAATCGAATACCAGATCTGCAGGTTGTTCTCAATCCGTAACTCTCTACTTTATCTTTAATCTCATCGAAATACTACTCGCCATCACTACCACTTCACCATTTGTGTCATCGCAATCTAACACGCATCAAAGACAATATTGGAATCTCACACAACCACAACAACAACCGCCCAAAAATCAACAACCACAACCAAACCACAAACACAATCACCTGTGAATAGAGAAAAAATGGAGGAAACCCAATTTGCAGCACTGCGAACAATGACGATCGGTGCTTCGCCGTGTGTAATGCAATGCAGCAACAATCGCACACAATTGCATTGCTCGATCCATAGCCAATCTGTGCCGCGCTGCCGATCCTTTCCAAATATCCCACGTTGCGCCATGTGCAACCCCTCATCGCTAACGAAAGGATAGAGAGAGGGCGAGAGAACAGAGAATATATTGGCAAGAGGTTTAGATCGCGAGAATGGAGAGAGATAGTTGGAGTTTTGGGATTGAAATTGTGTAGGGTAGATTAATTAATTTTTGAATTATCATATCAAGTAAAAATGTTTATTTATATATTAATTAATTAAAAAAACCTTTGATTTTTGAATTAGTAAACACGACATCTGATTTATGAATTGAGATCTTCAAATTTCTAGGTTCCCGTAATTTCCACTTTAATATATTATATAACAAAAATTATATTTTTTATAGCATGTTTGAGCCTTATTTTTTGAAAATAATGCATTTTAAATAATATTTTGATAGAAAACGTGTGATTAAAAAATAAGAAAAAGTTTTGAATTTGTGTATAACATTATTTTATTAAAGAACATGCGTTTAAAAATAAAAGAGAGAATAATATATTTTAGAAATAATGAGAATCAAACAAGGGTTTAAAATGTGTGTTTGCGAGGGATTTTTCTTAGTTAAAAATTGTTTTTTGAATGAGTTGTTAAAAAGTAGGGAAAAATATGAATTTCATAGAATACATGATTAAAATAATTTTAAAGAAAAATAATTTTATTTTTACTGTAGACGGAAGGATCGAATCCTTATGCTTCATCTTCTTCTGTCTACTGTCTTCATCTTCTCCTCCTTCCATGCCATCGCCATCGGCTTTCTTTCGCTTTCCCCCCATTCTACGAATGCCGCTTGAAGGTTAGCTAATAGGTTAAAAGATGGATTTGGGACACGAGGAGAGAAGAAACTAGAGGAAGAGCGGGGATTCCGGCGGCGACTGGATGAAGTCTGTTCTGTGGTTGGGTTTGAAGGCTATTAGGGTTTACACAGCCGTTTCAAGTTTTTGTTCCTCTATTCGTTAATTTTTTTAAAATTATATGAATATAAGTAAAAAATAAATTAATTAATTAATTAAAAATAAGTAATTTTTAATTAAGCTTTGCGAAACAAACTCCATCATCAATGATCAATCCCATCATAAAAATAGTTTTCATTTTATTATTTTAATATAGAAAAAAATGCATATACAAAAGATTAGTATAACACATTTCAAAATTAAGGCACTGTTTGTTTCTGCTTTTTTCTCAAATTTTAATCCATTTTCTTACCGTTGCCCGCCACAATTGTTGACCTTTCTCTCACATTTCAGCTCAACAACGATCCAAAAATTGCTTTTAATTTGGGGAAAAATTGTTGCCAGACAAGCTCTAAGAAACGGAGTTTAAAACTTCAAAAATCAGATTTTTTTAATTTTATTTTTAAGATAATTAATTAAACATATATTTTGTTAATTAAAAATATTGAGGTCACTATTCTATACAATTTGGTCACAAATTATAAATTATTTGGTCACGAATTATTTCTGGCACACTAAAAAATTATAGGTCATAAATTATTTTTCAATCACAAATCAAAAATTTTATAAGTCACAATTTGTTTCTCGATCACAAATCATAAATTTTTTTAGTTGCAACTTATTTTTCGGTTACAAATCACAAATTTTATAATCGAAACTTATTTTTCGATCACAAATTTATCAAATCAATAGCTCACATATTATTATTTGATCACAAATCATGAATTTTATGAGTCACAACTTATTTCATTGTCACACATTATCAAATTATTTGTTTCAATTTTAACAAATTTTAAGGTCATGAATTATTTTCAGGCACAAATAAAAAATTTTACATGTCAAATATTAATTAATGATCACAAATTAACCAATTTATTGTTCACAATATCGAAATAATTGATCATATCGTCCCACTCTACCACCATAGTCATCGTCGCCACACCACACCACTGCCACAACCTACAATGCATTGTCACCTTCATTACCTACAATACACTATCATCACCGTCTCTTACATAACAAACCAACTCGTACCACAAACACTGCCTCCATCTGCACTGCACCACCAACTATACTTCAATCCACAACCACCGGATAACCCATACCCACCACCACCTCCTCCATGTCATAGCCCTGGTGAGATGAGATCGAAAGAATCGAATACCAGATCTGCAAGTTGTTCTCAATCCGTAACTCTCTACTTTGTCTTTAATCTCATCGGAATACTACTCGCCATCACTACCGCTTCACCATTTGTGCCATCGAAATCTAACACACATCAAAGACAATATTGGAATCTCACACAACCACAACCACCACCGCCCAAAAATCATCAACCACAACCAAACCACAAACACAATCACCTGTGAATAGACAAAAAATGGAGGAAACCCAATTTGCAGCACTGCGAACAATGATGATCGGTGCTTCGCCGCGTGTAATGCAATGCAGCAACAATCGCGCACAGTTGCATTGCTCGATCCATAGCCGATCCGTGCCGCGCTGCCGATCCTTTCCAAATATCCCACGTCGCGCCATGTGCAACTCCTCATCGCCAACGAAATGATAGAGAGAGGGCGAGAGAACAGAGAATATATTGGCAAGAGGTTTAGACAGCGAGAATGGAGAGAGAGAGTTGGAGTTTTGGGATTGAAATTGTGCAGGGTAGATTAATTAATTTTTGAATT